GGTTTTTTTTTTTTTTTTTTAAACTATATTTTTCTCCAGGGTTCTGTGCAGCTGGCCGCGTTTTAGCCGCTTTTAGCCAAGGTCAGCGCGTGACCTGCTTTGGTTTGCCACTCGCTCGCGCGGCCTCCCCCAGAACACGAGCAGCTTTCATGTCCACCCGGCTGCTGCCGTGGGAGATAAAGATTTGCTCCTTTCAAAGCCTGTTTAAATAACCGTTTCCTGTTGTTGGGGTCTGCTGCGTGGCTTTTGCTGTTAATTAAAATTCTGGTGCAGATTTCAGCAGCTGGAAATAGAACAGTGCAATTAGGAACACTCCAAATATAGCACTTTTTTTTTTTTTTTTTTTTTCCTTTTTAACACAGTAACTTATGTGTGTCGCAGGAAGGGCCTCCTCATCTTTCTGCTGGTGTCTCGGTGCTCTGAAAAACGAGTACTACAGGATATGCTTGATGAGGAGCCCCCAAGGAACCAGAGTTGACACCAAGCTGGCAGCAGGAGAGAGAGGCTGTAATGGCCTCTGCCGTGGCCAAGTCAAGCTGCAGAACTGTGGGCTGCAAATACAAATCAAATAAAGCAAATAATCCTTCCCTTGCTCCTGCCACTAGTAAAGAAGCCAAAGCAGAAAATACGTGGTTATTGATTTACAAAATGGTGAATTCACCTCCCTTTTTCTTTGATTCAGTAGCTCAGCCATTCCAGACTTAGGCCATGTGTCTCTTGGATGCCAGTAAGCTCTTCCTCATTTTCAGAGCATGCCAGTGTAGACATTTTTGTGGGAGAGAAGTGCTTATTTGCTTGGAGGAAGAAAAAGGGACCTGATTTTCTCATTTCTTGTGTGGACCTTGCAATGCAAGAAGCAGCAATGCAATGTAAAATAATGCCAAGTGATTATAGTTTAAAAACATTCATTTCTTACATCAGATGTGCAACTTACTGGTACAAAGCTTACTTATTGTTGGAGTTACCTCTGTTTATAACAAATGTTGCGTTGGTATAGTCTCTTTTTGTAGGTTTAAAAAGTAGACATTGCTGCCCTAAATTCTTTGCACTGTATAACTACATACGTGCAAGGAAGTTCCAATAACTAAATGACGGAAGTCTTTTGAGACAGCATGGTTAAAATGGTACATATATATCTATGTATATGTATGTAGGGAGGGAAGAAAATCATAAATACAATCTTCTGTCATGAAGCTAGATTGGAAGGAAAAGATGCACAAAATTCCACAAGCTAGAAAATTGTAACTGCTTGTGGCTTATTTACTTACCTGTGGAAAACTTAGGAGACCTAGGATAGCCACAAGAATCCCAGATTAGACATAACATCATCATCATCATCACTATTATACTTATTTCCACAGAAATAAAAGAAGTAGCGGTTTTAATTTAGAGATTCTTGAGATTTGTATTCCTCGTGCATAGGATTTGCAGTGACCAGAATGAACATTGGACATTTGTAACTCCCACCATTTTCTAAGTGCATCTTTAATTTTAAATTATTCTTCCCAGGAAATAAACACCCAAATAGACTCTACTCACTTTAACATAATCACTTTTTAAAATGTGCCCGGGAAAGGATCTGTTGTTGAACTAGTGCTCTCGAGGTTAAACTATCTTCCGAAGGGGTGCTGAAAGCTGTGCAGAAACCCCAGCTTTGCCATCTGGTGGACGTCCCCAAGAACAGCAAGTGGCTGTCCATCAGGAGGGACAGGTGTTCTCCTTTCCCCAAGTGCCTATCTCTACAAATGGGAAGCACTGGTGCAAAAACATTAGGCAAGGCATCTGATGTGAATCTCGCAATTAAAGGGGGAATGTAAGCCATGGGAAAGGTGGGGGAACAAAAGTCATAAAACCTTGTTACTTGGAACATATGGACATCATTAAAGAAAAAAAGTTGAAAGGTAATTAAAGAAGCTATAATGACAATAAATTACATTTATCTCATAATAAAAAATTGAAACATCATTTTCTCCCATATTTTTCATTCTAATTCCTAGTTTCTTTTATGTCCTTCCCAGTTCATCCATCCATAATTTCTCCTTCCCAAATCACTTTATTTTTTTCCTACAGATTTGTCATTACTATCTTACCTGAAGTTCCACTTCGAGTTTTCTGTTCCTGTCCCTCATAACCTTTATCTCCTTGTTCCCAGTCAGCCTGGCTGGATGAGCAAGAGGCAGCTCATGTTTCTGAGCTCTGCATGTCCTGCTTTGCTAATATTAGGACAAGTGCCACAGATACCTATTACCTTCACTGAAAACATTACTTGGTGGGGTCATTAATGTGGTTTACTCTCTACAATCAGCAGCCTCTGTTTATGAAATTCTTAAGAGCTTAATATCTCTGAAACCACTAAGTGAATATTAATCAAAAGTGGACACAAGGTTCAGAAATTTCTGGGGGACATGCAGAGACAAACAAATAGACGTTCTTATAGAGTGACTGCTTGAAAATCATCAAGTAGGCATTCTTCCCTAGGTGACTCCACAGTTTATTCACTTCAGAAGTGAACATACTCTATATGCTTTTCATCATAAAAGCAGAAGCTGATGTGTCATGAAGAGGACAAGCCAATGCACATGACATTGCCCTCCACAGAGCAGAATTCTTGACAAATCTATTTATACTCATTCACAAAACCAGGACAGACACTCCAAAGGTTAAGGAGAGCCTGATGCTATGAAGCAGGTAGGGAAGAGGAGACTCAGTGGGACAGTGACTAACATTCGGACACATGCTTATTTAGCATTCAGCATCCAGCATTAAAATCTATTAGTTTCACAAAAATATCATTAGTATGGAGATAGTTGTGTAGTTGTATCTCTTTTCCTTTTAGGAAAGTCAAATATATGAATTTACTTAAGATGTATGGCAAAATTCGTCCGTTAGTAAGTCAAATTCAGACAACTTACCAATTTCTTTACCAGGTAACTCTCACAAGCCCGTTGGAAGGTTAAGCTTTCTTAGCTGAATTAAAGCTGATGCATAAAAGTGGAACAAAACCCATAGCTATGCCATTTAGTTCACGGGCATTAATTTAGGCACTACCAAGCTTCAAGATAGATCTCACAGCTGTCAAGCAAAACAAGTTTTAGGTTAAGTTTTACAGGTTTCACAAGCGTACAAGAATACTGCAGGATGGATTTCTGACACTTAGATCACTGGTTGGGTGTCAGGCAAGACCAGTCCCTTTCACTGCGTCTCCTGAGAGCCTCAGATGCCGTACAAAGGATATGATTCTGGTGTGTGGGAAAAAGAGCATCTTTTGCAAATTGCTGAGCCCAGTTCCACCATGATTTCTTGCAGTCACTCAAAGACACGGATACAGGATACAGAATATGGGATCTAGCTTTGTGGATCCAGCCCATTCCAGAGTGGGAGTGCAGGAAAAGGAAAGGGATGTTGCAGGCTGCAAGTTAAATGAAAGCACATGGAGTCCTGCTGTGCTGAGCTCAGCTTCTGGAGATGTATTTGGCCAAACGTAAGTGCTGGACACAGCACTGAATATGCAGCAGAGTGCAATGCTAATCCTTTGTTCATGGTACCAGCTCAAGCTTGGTGATGCACAACAGAGCTGAAACAATAACATGGAAACCCCAGATGGCATTCAGACTGGCTGTAACGAACAATAATTTCCACTTCAATAGCATGCAAGGAACTCACAGTGCATTGCAAACTTTAATTAATCCTCCCAGTCCAGTTGGGATGCAGGAGGATTACATCCCTCACCACGGAAAGAAAGAGCTCCAGCATGAAACATGGCAACTATGCAACATACACAATGCCACCGCCCAGGAATTGTAGCCAGGATGCAAACTGAGCTGAAACTACATGGGAATTTATGTGGATGAAGAGAGAATTAAAAGCAAACTGAAGCTCTAAATCAGCAGTGCATCCTTCCTCACACCCGACACCAGGCCATGAAACAGAGATGTTAGAATAAACAGCAGATAACTTACCAGAATCACAAACACTGCATAATTTCATACCACAGGGTCATAGTTGCTGATTGAACTAGATTGTTATTGGCAAAAGTGTTGTTCAAGCAATTGCAGGCGATTCTTGTCGAAAAGCTGAAGCTGCTGCCGAGCAGCTAATAAGTGGCTGTTCTTCAGTCGTGCTGCACTCAAAATAGCTTTCCAACAGGGGGAAAAGCAAATTCTATTGGCTTCAACACCTGGTTGAGCAACTTAATAGGGACAAAATTGAACTTTAGAGCTGAATCATTATTTATTTTATAACTACATCTTCATCATGCAGTCCACTGCAAGATGGGAGTTATTTCATTTCAAATGAAACTCATGCCAGGTTTTTCTGTAGACTCATTCACCACAGAGGTGAAGAGAAGGTTCTTTGAAAACAATTTCAGATGGCAGCTGTTCAGAGGAGCAGAGCAATCCTCAATCATCAGGAAGAAATTTCTTCCTTTTTCTCCAGCTTCCCTTTGCCTTTCCTGAAATGTATTTCTTAAGTGCATTCATAATGCACCAGGAAAATGGTAGCAGTGCAAAGA